ACCTAGCCATGCCTCCAGCTAGTAACTTGTTACATAGATATGTCAGGGAGTGGGTGAGAAGATGCAGACCTAAAGATGCTTTTCTGTGCTCTTGGGGAAGACAAGATGCCCACGGAACTACTTGATTGTCCTGCTCTTTCAGTTGAGATCTTGGAGAAGCCGTCAAGCTAGAGTGCCTGCGATTATTAGAAGGTTGTCTCCGTGCGTTTCTGCCTCCCAGATTTTGTCACTTCTTGCTTTAGAAGGAACCCAGTGGCATTTAAAATTTTTGTCAAGAAATACATTAAAATATGACTTCATTACTTAAGATATTGAGAACCAAAATAGTACAGATACAGAGTACTTCCATGCCCACCCTCTCCTTGGTTGAAGTTAACGTGCAGCCAGGAGTGCATTTCTTTTACCCTCACTGCCCTCCAAGGCTGTCTGTCCCTTTCTGTATAATAACCTTTTATTGATTTTATTTTTATCTAATAACTTGTGCTAGGAAGAGGCCTGCTTTAAGTGACCACCTATGAAATAGGAGACGCACAGTCGTATGTTCTTCATCTTATTTTCTGTTAAGCATGTCCTATTTTACTTGGTAAATCTCTAAAAAGTCTATCTTCCTATCCCAGTTTTCATTGTCACAGCCTTGCTGGCTTTATGGCTCATTCATGTTTGGAGTGAGTAACCTTTTCTTGTGAGAAATGATGCTCGTGTTTGCCCCCGTGGAGACAGTGGGAGCTGGTGCCCCTGTCTTCTCTATATCTCACTCTGGAGGGGCCTTAGATTTTATAAGAGCTTTTCTTTATTTTCTGTACTTTATACATAATTTAACTCTTCCACAAGGCATTAACATAATCTAGAGAAGCAAATTAAAAAAATGGTTCTGTAAACACTTGAAAAGCTAAGCCATAGCAACTTAAAAAAGAGATTTATATGTTATGTGTGTGTCTGTACCAGTGAATGCCATGGAGGGCATCAGACTCCTTGGAGCTGCAGTTACAGGGAGCTGTCAGCTGCCTGACGTGGGTGCTGGGGATCGAACCTGGGTCTTCTGGAAGAGTAGCAAGGCTCTCGTTGGCTGAGCCGTCTCTCTGGACCCTAAGCCATTACTTGAAGAACTAAAGTCGCGGTACAGTCACCATTTTTGTGGCTCATTTCCTTAGGGGCAGCAGTGGAGGCCCTGGGAGGAGGAGGCTCGCTCCATGGCTTCACGTTTTATACTGCGTTGTATTTGATTGTGACCCCTGTGCCCTCAAATGTGTGTTTCTCATTGCCTTGTCATTTTCAGTGTGAACCAAAACTAACAAAAAGCTGTTGGATAAAAAGCACTAGTACTTTGCCACATTGTAAAGGAGATTCAGCTGCCTCTGAGGAGAGAGGGAAAAAACAGAAGGCTGCCTCGGGACCAGCCTGCCGGGGGCGCCTAGAAAACAAGATGGAAATTTATGTTTACTCCTTGAGCACAGGAAAACTCAGTGGTTAACAACTAAACTTTGATATTAATTGGCATAAAATCCATAACCTGGCTTGCAAAGCTCCAGAATCACAGTATGTATTCCCAGGGTCTCCTGTCGTCATTGTTTCTTGTACCTAGTGGGGTCTCAGGAGTCCAGATATTCTTGTCTCCTGGAAGACCCAGGTTCGGTTCCCAGCACCCACATCAGGCAGCTGATAGCTCCCTGTAACTGTAGCTCCAAGGGCCTTGCCCTCCATATATCGACTGATTGTTTTAATTTTTATTTTATGTGCATGAGTGTTTTGCCTGTGTGTTTATCCTTGTGCCGCCTGTGTGCCTGGTGTTCATGGAGGCCAGAAGAGAGCATCTGGTCCCGGACTGGACTTACAAACCATTGTGAGCTGCTTAGGGGTGCTGGGAACCAGACCCAGGTCTTCTGTAGGAGGAGCCAGTGATCTTCACCACTGAGCCAGCTCTCCAGCCCTGACAACAGACTTCCTAAATAAAACAGGAAGTGATGAGAGCCACTCTCTGCCAAGTGCTGAATTGTGGTGTTGTTCCCCAGTCCAGTCACAGTCCCCTTGAGTGACAGAGAATTCCCACTCCTGCTGACCTAAGCAGAACAAAAGAATTCACTGGAAAAGTGTTGTACAGTGCATGGAGCTGATGAGAAGGATGGAAAAACAGACTTCAGAACCAGAAGGAATTAAAGGTGGCTCAGAACTTGTGCTTGCAACCAGATAGGAACGACCTGTTAGGAAGCCAGCTTTACTGCATGACTGAGGCACCTTGAGGCTGAGCTTGCCCTGTGGGAGCATCTTATGGATGGTCTGTCTCAGGAGCTCTTTGTTTCTAGCTTTCAGAGAGGTCAGACTTACTTCTTATAGTAGGTGTTATTTTCGTGGTTTTGTATCATGTGCATCCGTATAACTGTCATTACCACTGACTTCTGACACTAAATAGAAGGGGTTTCCTCTCATAATCAGTTCTCTGAGCACTGTCTGCTGTCCACTTCGCTTCAATTTGGCATGAAATTCTAGAGTTAGTGTCAAACTCCTAATTTTAAAGGCTGAATTTCACTTGACTGACCTCAATTTGGATGCCAGTAGCAAGGCTGGGTCTTAGGCTACTTCTGCTTATAGGCTCCAGATAAAGCTTCTCAGGACCTCACTAGGTTTGCTAATTCACTAGAAGGACTCAGGTCCCAGGAAAGCTGTTTCCATGATATATAATGGATGACATAGCCCAGGAATAGCCAGTAGATGACACACATGTGGTGGGGTATGGAGGGTTCGGAGCCACACCTTGTCCGGTGTGCTGACTTCCCTGCACCCTGTGTGTCTGCTGCCTGACCAACGGATGTCTTATTGTGTGGTCATGACTGATGAAATTATGGGATACTGGTGATTGATTCTGTTTCTGTTCCCCCTCCCCACCTCAGAGTTTTGGAGAGTGTGGTGGCTGTTCAGGTGTCCCCTTGAACTCATGGAGGCTCCACCATAATTTGCTCTATTAGCATGGGGTATTTAGGAAGGGGCACTTTAGCAGTGACTAAAGACACTCCTTTCTGTCACTCAGGAAATTCCAAGGACAAAGACTCTTTTGCTGCATATCTGTTATTTGCATCCCGTCTAGACAAGTTTGGTGTTTAATTGCCTAAATGTCACTGTGTATTTTCAGAGTTGTTGATTGGTAAGCTGATAGCATATTAGGGAAGTGGCCTTGATGGAACCAGACTGCCTGAGTCCCAGTTTCCACGCTCACTAGCTGTGTGATGTTGCAGCAGCTAGCTCCTACCTCAGAAATACTGGGAACATTAAGTCAATACTAGAAGTCATTACAGGTCACAGTTTGTGATAAACACTTGAGTGTAAGGTACATGTTAATTAACATAATCATTATCAGTGTCATTGTCAAACCTCAGGTTAGGGCCCCAAGGTGATCACAAGTTTCCTGCGTTCTTGATTAGCTGATAACAACTGATCAAAGGCAGTATTGATTTAGAAACATGAAATGCTATAAATTTTCTAGCAGAATATAAAACTATGAGCTTATGTGAACTCCTTTGAGGTAGCTGGGCTAATACAGAATTACACTGAGAAGAAAAATTGAAAACAGTGTTTAAGGAGTAAAACTTAAAGGTACATGAAGTAGTTTGACAAGTTGTTTTCTTTGTAGGCAGGTGGGAACAGCGGTGGTATTTTTGTTTTTGTTTTTCTCTTGACCACAGAGCCTGTAAAATACTTCACTGGCTTACTTAGCCTTGCTTAATTGGCCATTATCAGGTGACTGTATAGATATTTCATTTTCAAATATGGGATTTTTTTTTAAAGAGTGTTTTTTTGCAGGACAAGGCTGCAGCTTGAGTGTTTTGCTCAGCCAACAGCACAGTGGCTGGAATGGGATGTGCTCGTGGCAGGTCCTGGCTGGACACGTAATCCAAACAGTCAGATTTTCTACTCTGGAAACTTGTTTTGAAGCGAGCAGCTCTCACTGGGTTCTCACTCTCCAGGACCCGCCCGCCCTGTGCTGGATGAGGTGAGCTGCCGTGCAGGAGGGAAGGACGGACAGTGATGGAGACTTCTCTCTCAGACTTGCAGCTTAGTTTAAGAGGGCAGTAAAGCTGAGCCTTAGCTTTTGTTTTTTGTTTTTTGTTTTTCTTTTTAAAGGTCCTGCTCTCCTCAAATTCTGTCTAGTAGTATGGAGGGCTGGCCAGGTCTCAGAATGCCTGCCCTGCCAAAGCCTCCATTTAAGGGAAACTGCCTTGCTCCCAGCACTGACTAGTGAGTGTTCCCTTTTTGTAGGTAGCCATAAACCCTGGCTGTGACTGAGTAGACTCTGGAAAACCAAACAGATACTGTGGCTTGCCCTAGAGGATGAACTCAGCCCAGCACTCAGGAGGCTCACGGGAGGAACGGCATAGGTCCAGGCTAGCCTGGGGTACATCATGAGTTCTTGTCTCAAACAAAACGAACGGTAGTCACTACAAAGCAAAATAAATGAACTCAGCTAAGAAATAGACCCCCACCCCTGGAGCATTTAAGACTGAACTGTGGAAAGATGAAGTGAGTAACTAAGACTTTGTTGAGTTGCACCTTGAAGTAAACAGAGGTTCCAGGTGTTAGGGAGCGAGGCCGTGGGAAATTAGAGACTGCTCTTAGTACTGCGGCAGAGGGAATCAAGTATTAGGAACAAGCTGTGTAATGTGGAAAGCAATGGAAGATTGACTGGCTACTTGATGGATTAATAAAATAATTGAAGTAATTTTTGAGCTGTTGCTGTGTGCAGTCCGTATGCTGGCCCAGGAGGGTTGCTCTGGAAAGCATTTAAGCCGTTGGTTTCCACCCTGCTGCAGCGTTGCCTACTGAGGACTGTTTGGCAATGTCTAGACTTAGGAAGGCTGTCACAGCTGGGGGTTGGGGTGTCCCTGGTATGCCACTAAAACGTCTGCAGCTCCCTGAAAAAAGAAAAAAAAAAGGCTCACCTGGATAAACCGTCACGAGTATGAGTTAGAGTAATTGTCGTGTTGCAGTTGACATTTCACTCTGTTTTGCAGAGGCAAGGACTTCTGCTGGAGTGAAATGGAGGCCTCGGTGATATTGCCCATCCTGAAGAAAAAGCTGGCCTTTCTTTCAGGTACGTGTGCTGCTCTAGAACTCTTCCATGTGTAAGTTTCCTTTGATTGGTTCAATGGATGCTGTAAAGTTCCTTTTATGAAGGTTTGGTTTTAGGGCATTTCTTTAATGAGTTGTTGTGATCCGTTGCTGCTGGTTCACCATGATCTGGTTTTATTCTGTTCTGTGATTTGACTAAACTGATGAAATCACGGCTTTTCACTTCTGAAGTAAAAGTCGAGTACTCAGTGATCGTCGTCGACAGACACCATTTCAGCAGTTGTTCCTGGAGTGACCAGTTCTGATCCCTTCTCTCTCGGCCTCTGACCTCTGTTGTTCTCAGGAACGCTCTCACTTTCCCAGAAGAGTTAGAAAATGCCCCTTCTGCGTTCTCCTGCCTTGAATTTGCTTACAGTGATTAACGGAAGTGTCGTCCACTAAGATGACTTCGGGAGAAGACGGGGGACCACCTGTTCCCGTGAGAGTAGAGGAGAGGTTGCGTCTGGCCCAGAGACTTTGGGATCTGAAGAGAGTCCGCAGGCTCCATGGCCCTGCCGGTTTGGGGTTACTCAGACTATACTGTTTTCCCTTTTCTTTCCTGTTTCCCTGAGCTCTTGTCATTGTCTTGATAATTCTAATTTCTTTTTTAACCTCAAATATCTGGTGTGTCTTTGTAAGTTGACATAGTTTCCTGATGAAGATTGTAAAGTTGACAAAACAAGATGCTAAATTCTATTGGTGTTGCTACTCCTAATTTAATATGTATTTTCTTTTTTAAGTTTGTGTTATCAATTAATTGGTATTTCACTCGTCTCCATGGTGTTCTAATATGGATGATATTATTATCATTTATATTTGTAGCCTTGTGAATTTCATAATGATTGTTCAATAATGTGAGTTCTTACAACTGGAAGTATCGAGCAGGCTATAAGGGTTGGTAAATTGGCAGGTACCTGTGTAACCCCAGCACTCAGGAGGCTGAGGCAGGAGGATCAAGAGCTTGAGGCCAGCCTGTGCTATTGGAGATTCTGTCTCAAACAACAACACAAAAGCAGTCGAACAAACATACCGACTGCCTTGAAATGCTTGGGGTGCCAGCTGTCCTCCAGGAAGATGCTTCCGTACCCTTCTTCTCCGTATTGAGATGCCTTTCTTCCTACACTTGTCACTGTGGATGCTCTCTTTCTTCACACCAGTAACATGTCTGTGTCTTACAACGTTTGTCTGTGTGCATCATTTGACCCTGTTCACCATAGCCGTCCTGAAGGTCTGTGTTACCCCCGGCTTCTGACTCTTCCACTTTCACACCAGTGGTTTTTTTCTAACCCCCCGTAAAAGCTGAGGGTGTGGGGTTCAGGGTGGTGTAGTCTTGAGGATTAAACTTGACCCCTAAAGGAGGATCTTAAAGTGGTTTAGATGTCATCTACAGTCTAGTTTAAATGCATGAGCAAAACTTATCAGTTGTGAAGAGCAAATGAAAGTTCCCTTGCCCACTCTTAAAATTTTATCTCTTGACCATTAGTAGTTAAAGTCAGTTATTCTCAAACTTTTTTTTAGAATAATGAAACTGTTTTCAAACCAGCAGAATTACCCAAGGGCTGCTATCATTTGGAAGTCACCTGTGTAATCCATTAAAAAAATAAAATAAAATAAAGCCTGTATTCTAATCAACAAAAAATGCTATTGAGCCACTGTGTATGAGGTCGAATCCTCCAAAATTGTTGTTTATTGATGTTAGACAGAGTGGTTCAATATCAACAGTTGCATAGAAAATAGCCCTTTATGGCTGCCATGCCATGAATCACATTTCTGTCACTAATGGAAGTCCTCTTCACCTCAGGCTTTTCAGTTTTTAGTGATGAATTGCTAGAGATTTTACAGAATTGTTTGCTTCAGGATTTGCTGCTTCTTAGGCTTCTTAAACTATTGTAAATGTCAGTTGGCTCTGACAGTAGGCTTCAGTGTGAGTCACGCAGAGTTTTGAAAGATGGTAGGTAGGAATGAAAGTTCTAAAAGTTCCCTTGTTTCACTTACAGGGCTGGGAACTGAACTCAGTCTGTGGCTGTGTGAGGATCTCACTTTGTAATTCACACTGGTGTGGAGCTTGTCTTCCTGTCTTTGTCTCTTGAGTGCTGAGATTGCCAGCACGAACATCAGGCTGGGCTTCTAAAGTTACATTTTACACTGAGGGCAAACACGACAAGGACTTAAGCTACTTGCGATTTCAGTGTGCTCCACCCCTGCTTTCTCCTGTCCCCCAGGTCCTGCTCCGTGTTCTCAGCCGTGTCTTCACTGCCGTCTAAACAGTCTGCAGCGGGCTGTCCTGTCTGTACACAGCAGTAACCGAGCATGTTGTTTGCTCTTAATCAAATAATCAAATAAGTATGTTATTTCGCTGTTAATCTATTGCGTAGGAGATGAGTCTTCCATTGCTTTCCATATTACACACAGATCCATGTTTCTTCCGTAAGTGAACTCAGGTCATCTGTCACCATGGGATGTTCTTTTAACTTGGTTTTAGAACTTCTGTAAGTTTTCCCTCAAGTCTTTATTTACCACAGCTTTTTTTTTAAGTTCACTTTCTCTATTGTCTAATCCCTTTTTATAGCATATTAATGCTATATGAAGACACCGTGTAGCAAATTAGTGACCATAATTCATACTGTTCTTATGACTTAAAGCTTTTTTTTTCAGATGCAGATTTGTTTGACTTGCAAGCACTGATTGTACTAACACACAGGAAGTGATTGATGAGTTGATTCAATTGGGCAGCAGCCTAAATGGAGGAAAATTAAAATGATTTTGGTTTTGATGAAGATTTCATAGATGCATTTTCTTCTGAATTTTTATGGAGTTTTTGCCTTTACTATTATAAGCATTTATAAACTACAAAGAGCAATTAGATATTTTCCAAACTGTGTCCCACACTTGTAATTGTTTTAATAACGTTGGATTAAAATGTTATTCATATGATTTTTTAGTATCTGGTAAATCTTAATGTATCTTTTCTGTAGGAGGAAAGGACAGGCGCAGTGGACTCATCCTGACCATTCCGTTATGCCTGGAACAGACAAATATGGATGAGCTGAGTGTCACTTTGGACTATCTACTCAGCATTCCAAGGTGACTCTAAAGGTGTCTTTTTCTTCCATTTCAATATTGTTTCCTATTGATTCTTGCTGTTGAAGTATCACATGCCTTTTCAGCAGTGAAATTACAGTTAAGGACTAGGAGCAGGAGCTGATGCCAGCAAACAGATAAGATACTTTGCGTTCGGTGTGCTTCACGGTACACAGATTTCTAAACGTGTACCTTCAACCTCTCAAGCACAGTTAGGCTCAGCACCTGTTTACCATGGAGCTTCAGAAAGAAGAGAAACTGGGGGCTGGGGAGAGGGCTCAGTGGCTAAGAGCACTGCAAGATCTGAGTTCCAGAGCCTAGCCCACTCTTAAGAAGTTGGACCTAGCCCCTTGTGAGTCCACCTTAATACTGTGAATGGCAGAGACAGGAGGTTGCTAGGGTTTGGTGACTGCCACCGAGGTCCAGGCTCAGTTAGTGAGAAATGGAGCAGGACACCTGATGTCCTCCTCTGGTCGCCGTGTGCACACAGTATACACAACTGCATGGATGTTTAACTCTCCCCACACACGGGGGGTGGGGTGGGGGAGGGAGGGAGAGAGGGAGGGAGAAACTTAATCTACATGAACTCATCTTTGTTTTATTTCACTATTCCATTAATTTGGTAATAATCTCTAAAATGAGTGAAGGCTGTTAGTCTTCAAATATTTTTATTTTAAAAATACAAAAATATATACATAGTTTAAGTTATAGGTCCCCGAGTTTTTAATTTTCATAGTTATTGAATAAAGAAAAGTCTCAAACATTCCTCTTTGCTTAAGTCTACCCATCACCTCAGAGTCGAAGCAGGGGCTGGAGAGATGGCTGGGCAGTTAAGAATGTTTGCTGCTCTTCACTGTTTGCAGCTCCCAGCACCCACATTAGGTGTCTCAGAAACACCTGTGATCTGAGGGATCGACTTCCTCTTCTGGCCTTTGAAGACAGGTGGCCCACCTCTTCTGCTCTGTCGTCCACAGCATGCACAGCTCTTATGGTAGGCTCATGTCAAGGCGGGCTCACACTACACCTGCCTCTGCTCTCTGGTGGTTATCCCATGGTTCTGGGGTCTCCACTGCAGTCGAGGCTGCACCTTCCCCAGTGGCCTCTCTCGGCCTCTCACAGTACTAAGCCTCAGTTTCTCTCCAGGACCCCGTTAGTCCTGCAGCTTTCGTCAAAACCAGCTCCACATGGGAGACTCTTCAGCTTCCAGGTGAAGATGCAGCCTTGGCCCTCTCTGGCCCACAGCTGCTGTGTACTGACCTTGATGAAATACTCCCGGAGGATTTTAATCACTGCTGGTTCTTTTAGCTGCAGCTAGCCAGTACCTATCGTCTCCGTACAGCCAAGGTCTCACTTCAGTCCTGCTGCTCTTTAGTTAACTATAGCTGATCCTTCAGTCCCAGCTGGCCAGAGCTGGTAGAGTCTTTGAGGGACCCTCAGACTTCCCTCTAGAACTTTACAAGCCAGCTCTGCATTGTGTTCAGTATTATCTTGCAAGTCCCAGAATAGTTTATTAAACTCTGAGCACTCAGTGGCTTTTCTAGCCCCCAGAATCTTTCCACAGACCTTCCAAAAGACAGTATGGTCAGGCCCATTGCATCAGCACCCCAAACTTGGAACCAACAGAGGAACAGTGCTTGCTGCCCTGCTCCCAGGTTCATGTTGAACTACCTTTCTTATATACTTGGTGCCAATTTCTCTCCTAGTTTGCCTTCTGTTACTGTGGTAAATACCATGACCAAAGCAGGGGCTGCTTGGGGAGGAAGGGGTTTTTGACTTGTAGATCATAGTTCATCATCTTGGGAAGCCAAGGCAGACACTCAGGGTAGGAGCTTGAAGCAGAGACCACCAGGGGCACTGCTTGTTGGCCTGCTCCCAGGCTCATGTTGAACTACCGTTCTTATCCAGCCCAGGCTCTCCTGCCTGGGGAGGGCACTGCCCACAGGCCAGTTGGATACAGGCCGTTCTTCAGCTGAGGTTCCCTCTCCTCATGGGTGTCGGGTGGCCCACAGAACTGACTGGGGCACAGACCCACTTCCGGTGTGGTGCCTCATTCAATGAGCTGATGCTGCTGGCCTTTCAGTGTCAGAGAAGAACAAGTCTTCAAGCAAAGGCTTCTGTCTCTCTCCTTTTCTCTCAAGGAAAATGACCAGACCCGGAGTCAGTGCACTCACAGAGTGGCCTTGCTGATCTGTCAGTTCCCATTGAGTGATAAACCCCTTGCTTTAATAGCTGAGATTATGTAGACTCACAGCTGTATAAATCATGAAAATAGTCCTGGATGGACCGTTGGGGCCAGCTTTTCGGTTTGATGGTTGAGGGGACTGAAAATAAGAGACTTGGTTTTTTCAGGATCACACTGCTAGTCAGTCATAGAGCAGGGCTAGAATCTGCTGTTTCTCACACTGAGTCAAAAGGGGATTTTCTTGATGGTTGTTATTTTTTGTTTGTTTCTTCAAATTAGTACAAATCAGCATAGCTGCAATTTCTATGAAGTCTAGTTTGGAGGTTCCAATGAGATGCCAGGAGTATTGTAGGTGAATGGCCTGGTGCAGTGCAGGACCCATGTGGGAGAGGAGAAGCCAAGGGCTGCAGGGCGGTTTCTGACTTCCACGTGTGTCGCTAGAGTTTTCCGCCTTGCCCACAGTCAGGACAAATCTTTGTC